CATTTGGGCCAATGGGTCCAAGCATACAGAATGTAAATATTTGTCTATATTGATTTCCACCTAAAATACGAACTTCACATAGACAAGACTTTCTGATGTTTATGTAAACTTTTGAAATACTATGGGAAACCTGGACATTCAATCTTGTCTACAGGACTGTTGAAGAGAAAAAACATGACATTTTACAAACTCCCAAAAATTTCATTCAAATCAAAGCTATCATGAACTTAAACTCTACATCCTGTGATAAAATGATTCCCCAATGGCTACATGAGGTGTATACTGCACCTGAAACATGAGTAGAGGTTATATCTCTTTGACGTTATGCCAATACATGAAAATAGATGAAACAAAGATTGTTTTCAAGTACGTTTCACCCACTTTCTCCCTTGTTTGCCATTCCTGTGGGTCGGAGCATAGGGACCTGAACATTTGTTACAGCTTTATTTGGGCCTAATGTGTTAAGAGTAATTTAACACGTTAAGGGGGTTTAGATCGATTTTATGTAAAAATGCCACCCCCAATGCTCATATATGGGTGGTATTGTTTACCGAAAGTCGATCTAAACCCCCTTGACGTGTAAAATTACTCTTAACACATTAGTTAAGGTCCAAATATAGCTGTAACAAATTCTCATATCCCTGTGGGTCGGAGGTAGAGAAAAGAATAGATCTGCTGTTAACCACTGCATGTTGTAATATGCAACTATTGTTGAAACCCCCTGAACAATTGGGGATTTGCTTTAGTGCTTTCTATATGGGGACATAAAATTGACCACAACAAAAATTGTTGCACACATCACAACATTTGGGATCATTTTCTCTCTACTTCCTAACAACCGTGTCGTTTCTCAGTGCTTTCCTTGGGAAATACTTCACTGTCGCCTAGGTGTTGAGCGTCCACCTAGGTGAAGGAGGCAATCTATAAAACGGTGCTTGTTGTTTCCTGCAGCTAAACGTTCCGTATTTGGGGTAGTCGCAGCAACAGGTTAACCAATTGTCGGTATGATGTAACCGAGTGGAATACACTGGCATCAGATCTGCGCTATCTGCGAAATGCATCAGCACACTGCCTCCAGAGCTCATTCACACTCACACACCCAATAAACATATATTTGGAGGTTAAATGACCATAGATACTAATAGGACTAAATCGTACAAAACCAAACTAAATCACTCGTTTGAAATTCATCGCAAGTTTAAGAGATTGATACATATTACTTGGATTTTAAAAAAAAATGTAAAAAAATAAATAAATCAAAAGTTAAGTTCAAAGATTATAAACGGAAGCGGCACGAGCCTATTTTGTTTATAAGAGTCGACATTATCAACAGTCGGCAGTATGTTCGACGTTTTTTGTTTCAGTATATCACAATATTTGCATAAACTGGCATATCGTTCAACTTAGACTTCAAAATAGCTCAAAAATATCTTTTGACGGCCATTCATATTTAATGTTCTTATTCTTTTGTTAAATACAGATACCATATTGAATGTTTTAGTCATAAGCAAATATTGCTACTGGGCTTAACTAATAGACTTGGATTTTTTCAATCTTTATAAACGAAAGAAAAGTCAATATCCTCAAAAAGCCAATACCCTTTAAGCATTTGATAGTTGTGTATTTTAAATGCAACGATTCCGATGCAACATTTGCAGAACTCATATTGTACTTTGGTTGGTCTTGCATTATTTGCAATTCCACATATTCGATAAAAAAAAAAACAAGAGTACCGCGGGACGGAACAATATACGCCCGTCGAATGCCATATAGTGTTATATACTTTCTTACATTGAAATAAGATCTGCATCATTCTAAGAGTGGTTAGCCGATAAGCTATAAACAAGAGGCCCAATGGGTCTGCATCGCTCACCTGGTATAAATCTCACACTTGTAACCTTAAAAGTTATCTACAATAAAGCTACAGGCAAAATATCAGTATTTATGATTAAAATTCATTCAAAAGACCCATTTCATTTTTTTAAACATTCCACCACTGTGATTGAAAGTCGAACAAAGTCATTATATTGAACAAATTTTATAGCCTTTCATCTCAGGATGCAATTTGCAAAACCCATGGTTATTCAGAAGAGGTCGTTTAAAGATTTTTAACAAATTTGACCCCTGTGACCTTGAATATAAGTCAAAGTCATTCACTTTAACAAACATAGTAGTCCTTGATCCCAGCATGCTACTGACTAAATATCAACATCCTGATCCTTTTGGTTATTCAGAACAAGTTGTTTAAATATTTTGAACATATTTGCTCCTTGTGACCTTGAATATGATTCAAGGTCATACATTTGAACAAACTTGGTAGCCCTCGATCCTAGTATGCTACTGACTAAATATCATCACCCTGGGCATTTTGGTTATTTAGAAGAAGTTGTTTAAAGTTTTTAACATATTTGACCTTTGTGACCTTGAATATGGGTGAAGGTCATCCATTTGAACAAACTTGGTAGCCCTCGATCCTAGTATGCTACTGACTAAATATCATCACCCTGGGCATTTTGGTTATTGAGAAGAAGTTGTTTAAAGTTTTTAACATATTTGACCCCTGTGACCTTGACTATGGGAGAAGGTCATTCATTTGAACAAACTTTGTAGCCCTTCATCTCAGCATGCTTCTGGCTAAATATCATCACCCTGGGCATCTTGGTTATTGAGAAGAAGTTGTTTAAAGGTTTTTAAGACAATTGACCCCTGTGACCTTGAATAAAATTGAAGGTCATTCATTTGAACAAACTTGGTAGCCCTTCACTCAAGCATGCTCCTGGCCAAATATCATCTCCCTGGGCAGTTTGGGTATCGAGAAGAAGATGTTTAAAGTTTTTAACATATTTGACCCCTGTGACCTTGAAAATGGCTGAAGGTCATTAATTTTAACAAACTTTGTAGCCCTACATCCCAGTTTGCTTCTGGCTAAAAATCAACACCCTAGGCCTTTCGGTTATTAAGAAGAAGTCGTTTAAAGTAAAATATTGACGCCGAACGACGGACGGACGAACGATGGACGCCCACCACAGCATAAGCTCACTTGGCACTTCGTGCCAGGGGAGCTAAAAATACAGAAGAAAATCTGCGGACAAAAAAAATCTAATACTGAAATGAACAAAGGGCAATAACTTTTGCAAAAACTGTTGAATCAAAATTCTGTTCAAGGAAACACAGCAACATATCATGAATATTAAGCCTACTAAGTTTCAAAGAAATCCGTCAGAAAATGTAGGAGGAGAAAATCTCTGGACAAAAAATCAAATACTGAAATGAACAAAGGGCAATAACTTTTGGAAATTTTGTTGAATCAAAATTCTTTTAAGAGAGACACAACTTCATATCATGATTATAAAGTATATCAAGTTTCAAAGAGATCAGTCAAAAAATGTAGGAGGAGATTGCCGGACAAACAAAAGTTTACGCCGGACGGACAGCCCCATACCATAATACTTCCGTCAAATTTGACGGGCGTATAAAAAGAATACCGAAGTCTCGACAGAACCACAATTCGAACTCAAAATCGATAAAACAAAACATGAACAAAGGAAAGATTAACATGGAGACTCGTGAAAACGTTCAAGGAGAATAAGACCAGGTGTTCCGGGGGGATAAGCATTGTCTGCTTATTCGACTATACCCGCCATGCAACTCCAGGTCAAGTACATGTCACCTTACATCAGGAACTAGCTAGTGTAGTGACAACAAAACCACAATGTACCTTAATGAACTTAATCAAAGACGTCATCCTTCATATCACGGCGACATTTTTATGAAAAATAGAACTCGTTTGAAATTTTGGTAATTTCTCTGATAAATGTGTTTTTGTCCAACCTCGTCCGTTTCTTGATGGTGTATTTTTAGGCACAAATCGATGTAAATACTGAATAACATTTCTAAAATCATTGAAATATACTGTACTAAACTGTAGTATTCGTATCAATTTCGTTTCCGATTTTCATTGATTAAATAAGAGAAACGGGGAGGTGTAATGAAGTTTTATTTACTTATATTTCCTAACGCCGTTTGGAACCCACCAAAGAGACGCCTTTCAAGATGAAGCTATTGAACTCTTTGATAAACTAACAAATTTGATATGCAGCTGTCCATTCTTGTATTTCTTATTGCTCGTAAAATGGATTTCCATTCTTTTCACAGACGAAACCTGTTTTGCTTACTATTTCATTTTTAACAATTGGCGCGTCTTTCATATTTCAAATAACTATTTAATGTGCTCTTGCGTTACTGGCAGAATGTTCACGTCATTATGCCGAAATAAATGTCTCTCTCTTGATGGCCTATAGAAGGGTTAATAGAGAGTCTCCTGTTAAAACCGAGCAGACAGTATCACTATTAACTGCCATAAAATTAAAGAGTGTACAGACTGGAGTTACACAACTAACGTTAAAAACAGCATTTTTTCTTCTTAAAAAAAAAAGTACTTATGGAGTAATTTGATTCCTGTGATCCCGAATGTAGGTCAAGACAATGAATATGAAGAATTATGACAGCCCTCTTCACAGGCAATTTGCATGAGTGACATATTGACTACTAGTCTGATGAAGTCAGCTTATGTTATTTGAATAACGCTCTACCAAAGCAAGCTCAAGCTGAAAATGAAACATGCATAACTAAGAACAAAGGAAAGAGGACCCCAGATAGGAACTACAATAGATCTCCACTTGCAAATAGGAATAATATAATAAACTTCAAAGAGCCATCTTGTTCATTCAAACCAAAGCAAACTTAGTGTCAAAATCCAAGGTGGCCATCTGTTGTGCAGCCATTTTGTTTTTCTGATAAATAACAAAACACCTCGTGAACACCTAAGGACAAGGGAACCTTAATATAAAATTGGCAGAAAAAGCTGCAAGGTACTTCTTGAGAGATAGCCATAACGGAAAATAATTCAAGGATAGACGACAGGAAGAAAGACCATGGACAAACGACAAATTGAACAGCCCTCCGTCTGATGATGGTGGTATAGACCCAAACAAGAAATGTACTTTTTAAAATGTTTAATGGTTAAATGGTTCAAGAAGACATGTTATAATAATGTTCATTATTTTGCTTCTAAAATTTTATTACAGATGAACCTGTCAGGTCTCATTAAATTATGTTTTAATAATTTTACGATGCAAAAATAAATCTCGACATTTCAGCTGTATTTGAACACATAAGGTAAATCATTTTCATACATATGCAATGAAAATTTTGTGGACAAATTTTAATGCCCTGTTAAAATTGAACGAAATAAGCATAGTTATACAAAATCTTAACACTTTTAAACAATTCGAAAACAATACAAATCAATACTGAGATCATTTTAAAGTGTCGCTTCATAAATCTACCGTACAGTACAAGAAAAACAAATCTGGTCCAAAATACATTTCTAAATAATCTTGGTCAATTGAAAGTTTACGTTAACCTGGTATATCTGCCTGCTGAGACATGATTTAGACAAGCTATGCTTATATTTTTTTCCCTGATCATGAAACAATTACACAAAAAAGAAATCCCTAACAACTATGAAGCATACATGTCTTCACATGATAAATGTTGCTTGATTTTACTATTTACAAAGAGCATGAAGCATATAGTTACATAGACGATTTTCATTGAATTGATTGCCTCTCTGGTAACCTTGTCACCTACAAAAAAAATTGCCTCTAACACCTGCACTTTTTTTTTACAATTCATAGTATGTAACTTTATTCCTGGTATCCTTATAACCAACAAAAAGCCACCAACACCAGGGCTATTTTAAAATCCTTGTCTGTATATTGGTATTCTAAAACACTTCCTGCCACAGCTAAACTTTTACAGCTTCTAATCGTCCTTCTTCTTCTTCTTTTTCTTCTTCTTGGTTTTTCCGTCGCCACCAGCATCTCCTGATTCATCCATATCCATGGCAACCTCCTGTTCTTCACCCTTGGACTTCCGCTTCTTTTTCTTTTTAGGAGGAGATGTTTCCTCATCCTCCATATCGGCTGTTGTGTCGGCCTCCATCGTTGTATCAGCCATACTCTCATCCCCTTCAGCTTTCCTCTTCTTCTCTTTTTTCTTCTTCTTCTTGTCTTTCTTTGCCAATTTCTTCTGCACCTCTCCAGCCTGTGAGAAGGAATACTCACTATAAGTTTGATATATATAAAGTCTATCGCATGAAATAATGATGTAACAAAATGGATTTCACCTGTTGCTTAGTTTTTCATTTCAGTTAAATTCACCAATATCTTTCTCTCCAAAAACGTTGGATATTTTCACCATTAAACATTTATCTTGTCATCAGGTTGAATCTTATACAATTGTACTTAATAAGTTTGGAACATTCGTATAATCACTCATAGTATCTTTCAATATCAAATACTTTATATTTCTATTACGCACCAATCAAAATAATGCTTAATCTTCGCTCCATATCTACTTCCTGGGTAACCTTGATATCACCGATATTGTGTATTGTTCAAGTCACATGACTTTCATTGCTATTGTATGTACTGGTATCATTTGGACCAACTTTAAGTTGTCTTAATTTGTCTTTGCTTAATTATAATAAAGAGCAAGGTAAAAAGGACCAAAGAAACAAATAAGTATGGTGGTTGTTTTCTAAATGGATTTAACATAGGAACAAAACAAAACAAAAATTGAAGAAAAAATGTTGATGTGCAGCCAAAGGAAACCATGTCTTGTTTATTATTTCAGTGATAGGTAATTACACCAGGTTATTATTTTATATTGTGTTCACTGTAATTACTGTCACTGTCCATTCTCCTATAAAGATGTCTCCCCTTATTTAATGATAAAAAACCCCCACTCCATTCTGGCCATCTCTGTTTAACAAATTATCAATAATTACTTTGTTAAGTGCCCCCTTCAGCTATTTTCAGGAACCCTGGGTACTAGTTACAGAAAATACAGCGTCTAGGTCATCATTTCTGTCCTAGGTTATTCAGAATGTCAAGTTTCAGTATACAGCTTGCTTATTATTGGTGCAATATTATTTCAATGGGCATGTTGCTAAATATAGATTTATACTATGTTGAATTTGCAATGTAGATTTTGTTTATTAAGTCTGTGATATTACTTTATAAGAGATGTTTGCTGACATGTTGCATTTTTCTGGTCCTCATAACCACAAAATTAACAATGCCACAGGTGAAATTGATCTCTCTATACGTCATTTGGATAGCAAATCAGTATTCAATATGCCCACTAACCTCTTCCACAGCTTTTTTCATGACATCTATATTTTTGGTTGGTGCGTCGCCAGTCTCGTAGAACTTCAACCTGTCTTCCACCTGCTGTCTCAAATGGTCACCAAACACTGATGTAGGATATTCTGAAAAAGAAAAGTATCGTTAATAAGGTTGTAGACTGTATCAATTTCTTTCAAAACAGCACAAATTCAAATTTCCTCTACATAATATCAGCAAAAGTTGTCATTTAACAAACATCATTAAGCATTATGTATGTAGAACATGCGAAGGAATTGCTAAAGACTAGCATGAATATTACATGGAGCTATGGTGGCATTTGCATGGCAAATGAAATGGAGGCTTTAGACTATATTAACTGATGACATTATTCATCCCTGAAATTGTAGAACTATTCCAACCTTTGAATTGGAAGAGTTCACTTATGTCTTCAGGGGAAAATGAGTTAATCTTGTTTTATATATTCTGCTTGAAATTCTGAAATTAAGGTTTACAAACTAAAATGTTATAGTTGCGGAAAGAAAACATCTTCATATAAAAAATTCCGAAATGCCAATATCAACATCAAATCTTCAGAGTTTTAGTTTGCTTGTGTTTTACGTCCTATTACAGCTATGGTCATTTAAGGACCTGTCAGGTTTTGGTGGAGGAAAGCCTGAGGTCCCGGGGGAAAACCACTTACCTATTGCCAGTACCTGGCGACTGCCCCACGTAGGTCTCGAACCCGCGACCCAGCGGTTGAGGACTAGTGGTAGCAGAACGTCAGACGCCTTTACCACTTGGCCAACTCTAGTCATATATTTGTTGAATTATCCCAAATTTCTACTGTAAAGAATCATTACAGATATTTTCATTTCATCTTACCCGAGAAGCAGTCAATTCTTGAAGCGATGGAACATTTGTTGGCCAGATAACGTGAAATGCGCCCCTTGTTTTGTGTGCCAGCTCGGCCGATAAATGTGGAGTGGAAAATCAGACCATATTTGGGTGTGTTTCCTTTGCTTTTCAGGGCTCTGTGAAGCAAAGAAGAGATTCATATCATTATCAGATGTTTTACAAAACAAATACAATTGGGAGTATACATAAAGAAAAATATTATTGAAGTGGAATTTCCTTTTCAAAAATCTATGGAGACAATTTGTCTCATACATGCGATTGTTTATTTTGAAGTATGACAAATGTAAGTCCGGTTTCAAATTTGAAAATCTTGTGACAAATCCCATACAGGATAAAGGTCTGTTGAAGGATTTATGACTAACAGTTTCAAAGGTGCCTGAAAAGAATACTTGAACTGCTTTATATAAAACTCAGAAAGACTATCGACCAATTCAGAGACAAGTCTGTATATCATTGTCATGTAATTTGAACATGAAAGTATATAGACGTTCTCTTTAAACATTTATATTCTGTTAATTTAATGAAATTGAAAATATTAATTGAATCAAAAATGACTCACACAAACACATTTTTAAACTTATGTACATATCAAGATGCGACACATGAACTTGCTTATATTATTAAATTTCCTTATTTTATCCAGAAAATATTATTTTCAACAATTTTTTCCATATTTCAGAATTTGGTGTGATTTTAAAAGGCACTATTTATGCAATGTCACTGAAAAGAGTTTTCATGTTTTGAGTGCGGGATAACACTGTCCCACTCCTCAAATGTGAACATCAGCAAATCATTGGCTTGATATTATATTTTTATCATTTACAGAAAAATAGTTTATTTTTGAGAAAATTAAGTTCCAAAATCATATCTTTCCCTACCTTTATTCAAGCAGACAAATACAAAAGAACAATAAAATTGTACTTTACCTAAAAAGTGCTTTCTCTGCACCAAGGATTTGTACTGTAGACGCTGGGTATTTCGCAAGGTTTGTCAAAGATCCAGCGTGGGCTATCAGGCGGGCTCCAACCTGGAACACATCAACATTTTGACTAGATAACCTTTAATGTGATTAAATTAAAAGTTGTTGTTCATGTGAAACACCAATAAAAAAATTCAAAGAGATCCCTACATTACTCAGATAGTATATAGTGATCATACAGTAGTACTAGTTTAGTTCAGAATTTGGGAAAGGGAAACAGAATGTACTAATTACTTAACCATACAATCTATTAAGGTGTCATTATAATTTAGAGGACTGGAAAATGACTTTCTACATTAAGTTTTAATACTCTTGTCCATAAAACCAATTTCATCACCTTGCACAAATTACTCATTATATTAGATTTTTAATACCAGAAATCCCTCTTGAATTACTGTAAAAAACTATCAACCATGATAATTACTAATTTAAATTTTCTTCAATACATGTATTTTAAACAATCCCCTTATTTCACCATCAAAACTTTTTACATTGGTTCATAAATTATTGTAAACGCATGCATGTTATTGTTTACAAGACTCAGAAATGGCTATCAACAAGAAAGTTCAGAGACTCTAGTCCGTAAAGCCAATTTCATCATTTCCTGCAAATCACTTTTGACGTTAAATCAGACAAAAGAAGAGAAATTGAAATAAAAGATATTTTAGATTTTAATAAACTTCCTCCATACAGTCAATCTCATCATTTATTTTAAATTATATACACTTATATGTCAGACAAGAGTGTAGATATTTCATGTCATTATTTAACAAAATTGAAACATCAATTGGTTCATTCATTGGTTAATGAACTTGTAAATGATTGTAAATGCATGCATGTTCAATGTTATTGTTTACAAGACTCAGAAATGGCTATCAACAAGAAAGTTCAGAGACTCTAGTCCGTTAAGCCAATTTCATCATTTCTTGCAAATAACTTGTAAAATCAGACAAAAGTAAAGAAATGAATATTATAGACATAAATTAACTTCCTCCATTCAGACAATCTCATCGTTTATTTTAAATTAAACACACTTCTGTCAGACAAAAGTATAGAAATTTAATTTGTCATTATTGAACACAATTGAAACTTTCACAAATTAGAATAATTAGATCACTCTGATTTTATTTTGTGTAAGAGTATATTAGCAATATACCAGACTACAACTTGATATAAATCTGTCCACACATGAAAATAAAGCAGTTTATTTGCAGACTTGCTAAATCAAACTTTTTTCATTGGTTCATGAACTTGTAAACCACATGTATTGAAAATACATGAATGCAATGGTACATGAACATTGTTATTGTTTACAAGACTCAGAAATGGCTATCAACAAGAAAGTTCAGAGACTCTAGTCCGTAAAGCCAATTTCATCATTTCTTGCAAATCACTATTGACGTCAAATCAGACAAAAAACAAAATAAGGATATTTTATATTTAAATCAATTTCTTCCATACAATCAATCTCATCATTTACTTTAAATCAAAAACACTTATGTCAGACAAAAGTATAGAAATTTAATTTGTCATTATTGGTAAAAATTGTAATTTTTACCAATTAGAATGGTAAGATCACCCTGGCTATCTTAAGACTAATTTTATTTTGTGTAAGAGTATATATAGCAGCAATACACCAGACTACAACTTGATACTTACTACATCCAAGATTGTGCATTATAAAATTAACCATAGAATGTACATGTGCAAACCATCACATGAATAATAAACAAGTTTTATGTGACTTCAGATATTAAAACGTATTGCAAACTGTAAATACCTTAAATTGCTGTTTAAATATGATATAATATCACAAACATTTCACTCATGTTTACCATGATTATAAGTGTTCTGTTTACTGCTGCATTAACTGTTCAATAATAGTAAGATGAACTACACCATACAATCTCATATCCAATGAACACAAGGGTTAATTGGTGACCTTTGTTCTTTCATTTAACTGTTTTTTAAACTTGTGTTAAAGGTTTGTACAGAAAATGAAAACAATTTTATAATTCACATTTGTGATTTTTTTTTTGGCATTCTACGTATACACATACTCCGGTACCAGAATGTTTTGTTTTTTTAATTTTGAAATAAATCAGTCTCAAATTTTTAAATCTATCAGTTCATTATATCAAACTAAACACTATACAAGTTTGACCAATCAGAAATGGCTATCAACACAAAGTTCAGAGACTCCAGTCCGTAAAGCCAATCTCATCATTTCTTGTAAATCACTAATAACGTAAAAATCAGATAAATGTAGAGAAAAGAATTATTTTAGATATGAATTAACTTCCTCCATACACTCAATCTCATCATCTATTTCTAATTGGATACACTAATGACAGACAAAAGGTGTCAACATTTAATGTCATTTTTTTGAATATAATTGAAACACTTTCACTATTAGACTTAATTGATCACCCTGGCTTTCTTAGGACTTATTTTCTTTTGTTAAGCAATATACCAGATTACAACTATATAAATGATTAAAATACCTTAAATTGCTGCTTAAAAATGATATAATACCATAAACCCTTAGGTCATGTTTACCTATGATAAGTGTTCTGTTTACTCCTGCATTAACTGTTCAATAATAGTAAGATGAACTACACCATAAATTCTCATATCCAATGAACACAAGGGTTAATTGGTGACCTTTGTCCTTTGACCTTTCATTTCTACATAACTGTTGCAGACAGTTTTCTTTAACCTGTTCTTTAAATTCTATTAAAGGTTTGTTGAATAGAAAATAAAAATCATTTTAAAGTAAATTTTCGGAATGTATTTGTAACAGTTCGGCATCGTAGCTTTAGAAGACACCGTGAAGGCTATTTTCCTTGATATATACATGAAGGACATGCACTGCATGTTTAGTTGCCTTTTTTGTGTGAACAGCATCCTTATTTTTGAAATTTTCAGATGTAACGATGGTGAAGTGTTTGCTAGCAACCATCTTTTGTTGTCCTCTGACAGATCACGTTCTGGTCTAACGGCACATGCGCTACGACATATTGCGGGGAATTTACATATATATATAGGCTATATTTAGAAATCGATTTTCAGTGGATTTCCAGTCTACATGAGTTTTTGAGCACTGGTCACCTGTATAGCATCTGACCAAAGTGATATTGAGAAATGTTCAAGCATATAATAATGTATACAAATTTATTCTATCTACATCAAAGGGCAAGTCATTTTAAATCATTTTCATATACTCCTTTTTTCAGAAGGATATATATTACTGCCAGGTTAGCAGATTATATTATTGCTGAACTACAAAAACTGGCAAAACAAAAATACATTTGTTTAATTTTCTATAACCACAAAGCTCAGAAATGGCTATCAACATTAAGTTCAGAGACTCTAGTCCATAAGGCCAATCTCATCATTTCTTGTGATATAAACAAGTCTAATAACTGTGATTTTCTAAGAATTTACCCCCCAAATTTGCTCACTTCAACTCTCTGCACCCCTGGAATGTCATAGCAAAATTAAAAGCTTATTGTGCACCACCATGTGTGGTTGATGAGAAAGAAGACTGGTTTGATCCTTTAATCTCGCGGTCACATAACTGTAAAATTGGCAGTCTTCGAAGTCAGATGTTGCTCCTCTGTAATCTTCAAAGGATAACAGTTTTTTTTTTATAACCCCAGACCTATCAAATAGCTAGCCTTGAGCATTCAATTTTGCTATGACATATTAAAGTGTTATCTATTTGTATAAACTGGTTTATTCCATCTACATCAAAATGCAATTCATCTTCATTTTTATACATCCCTTTCTTTCAGAAGGATATCTTATTACAAGGTTAGCAGATTATATTATTGCTGAACTACAAAAACTGGCAAAACAAAAATACATTTGTTGAATTTTCTATAACCACAAAGCTCAGAAATGGCTATCAACATTAAGTTCAGAGACTCTAGTCCATAAGGCCAATCTCATCATTTCTTGTGATATAAACATGTCTAATAACTGTGATTTTCTAACTATTTTCCCCCCAAAGGGATGGGTGCCAATTTCGGCTTTCTGTAATCTGATAGCTATCATCGATAAGTTTCATTTTTGTATATATACATACCTTGGGGTTTTGCATCATGATATGACAGGAAATTAAGGTAAACTTTTTCAGATTTGGGGGAAAATAAAATTTTGATACAAGGCTCTAGCGTCATGAAGGTAAAAGATGAATATTTTGTCCAACATACATGTGTGCAGTGTATTTCAATTTGATTTTTTGTTTAAATTATGTGAAGAAAATGTATATGTGCATTTTAACTGTTGAACTTTAAACATATAGGGGAAATATTTTGAAAAAAATTGCTATTTTCTTGTTGAAATACAGGAGTTTTGAAGCACATAGAAGGAATTTCAAAGAACAGGGGTAAATAAGGTAAATAATAAATATCATACAAAGACACTTAAGTTGTATTACCTGTTCACCAATCAGTGTGGCAAGATTTGGAGCTACCTGGGTCATCTTACTGTGGAGGTACTGAGCCAGGCCCATGCGGTACTCGGTAAGGGAGATAACTTTAGAGGCAAATGTCTCAATATTAAACAAGTCGATAGGTGAAATGTCCATTCCTATTGAAAGAAAAAAACATGAAGGTAAATTTCTAAATATTTTGTAAAATCTATTTTTACTTCTGTACTTCAAACAGTCAATAACAGTAATGAGTATACTCTCTTTTAGGGCGTCTGAATATAACATTCTGCTAGATATTTAAATTCAAAATTGACTTTTCTCAATGACAACATGAACATTATTTATCTATATTAAAAGTAATATCTTTTTATATATATTTTACACAAGATATTTATTTCATCAATCAAACATAGCAAAGAAAGTGGTGTAAAACAAGCTTTCCCCCCACAAAACAAGCAACTGTGTAGCTGTTACACTAACCCATTGATGATCTTGAAGCATCCAAGATGGCTGAAGCTTTGGCACTGTCCATGACTATTTCCTCTAGACCTTCCAGCTTGTCATCATCAAATTCTTTCCGGTTACCAATGTAACGGGCAACTTTGGCAAACATGTAGTTGTCATTTACAATCTTCACCAATTCTGGAAAGTGGTAGGAGTACCATTCCCTGAAATCATAGAATTGATAACAGTAATGTAATGAATGCGGACAGAAATTTCAATGTGTGCTCAGTCTTTATCATAACTCAGAATTGGCTATCGACATAACAAGTACAGAGACTCCAGTCCATAACGCCCAATCTAATTAAAATTATATCTTCACATCGCTCCCGTTTACTGATGATATGTTGCGTTGAAGATCTAACAACATCCCGTACAGGGTCACGTCAGAGGTCAACATGAATACATTATCGTATTTATAACAAGCCAATCAAAACGCGACATAACTCTTTCTTTAAACCAATCAGAAAGCAGGACCTGTAGCATTTAATGCAGACACCTCGTAGCCTTTTTCGTCTGGTCCAGTGATTGTTTGAATATTGCGAAGCCTGTCATTGGTTAATTTTAGTTTCAGGTTGTTAAACTTTTAAACGACAACATCACCAGAAGAGGAAGTCTCTCTTATTTCAAAGCAAAATCCACAAATTGTACAAACGTTGTCTTGTAGATAGACACGGCGTGGTGTCATGGGCGCCGCCATTTTCGATGCTCATTTGACACCTCTCGGTCTTTTATCATAGCAAGTGTGTTCCGAAATCATTACATCATCACTTACAGAAATGCGTAAGCTCTCATCTGATTGGTTAATGCAAAGGTCGCCTGAACATGACCCTCTACGGGATGTTGTTAGATCTTCAACGCGACATATCAGTAAACGGGAGCGATGTGAAGATATAATTTTAATTAGATTGCATAACGCCTATTTCATCATTGTTCCCTGTAGTTTTTATCACTCAGGCTTTTCCTTACCTATTTACAAGATGAAATTCGACAAATATTCACCACATATCTTCATAAATCAATATGGTCCGATTTTCTAACTTTTTTTTTTTTGTGACAAGTTCATACTAAGTGGTTCTGTCAAATTTAAAAATCAAATTTCAAATATAATATGCAGAATCATGTTTTTATAATATCTGATAATATAAGTTAAGTTTTTCTGCTATAAAAAAAGTCTCAATTTATACCTGATCCTCATGGAGAATGTGTTTATGTTTTTGTCGAGCTGATCCAGTAAGCTGATACTCTGGATGATCATGTTGTCTTGGCGGTTGACATTGAACTTGACCTTGGCTCTGGAATAGCTGTGACCCAGACCAAGCTGGGCTTTACTCTCGGACTTCTCATTCAATCCTTTCACCATTCGACTAAAGTGCACTCGGATCCCTATAAACAATTTGTTGAACATCAGATGTTTCAAAAATTCATTTCTTTTATTTCTAATTTTCCTTAAACTAGCATTTTCTAAAAGAAAAAAAGGGAAAGCTCATGCATTTTGCTTGTAGATATGTGTTAGTTTTAAACCCCGATCCTAGTAGCAAAAATCAACAGAGACAATGTCATGTTGTCACCCAACAGTCTATGTTTTTGTACGTCAATATCAAACACTGCTACCAATAAACAGCCTAGTATAACATGCAAATCTTTTGGGTGTTGTATTACATTCTGTGAACTTCAATATTTAGATGACTTTCTTTGGGAAAAGTGCCCTCTCTACTGGAAATCTAAGTATATATAATAAACATTAACCCGATAACAATGTCTACTGTATTCAACCCATTTGATAATTTCACAACCTTTTCATCACTGGATCAGAAATATTTACCTTTCACAATAACAGGTAAATAGTTCTAAATTGATCAAGAAACTGTAACTAGTATAGCGCTAACCTTTTCAAAAGTACAGTCTCAAGCTTAAGCCAGTGATTTATTTTGGATCTGTAAGAGTATAAGACAAACTGTAACAACTTTGGGTCCATTTTCTCCCTTGCAAATTTCAAAACAAAATGTGGTAAATGCAACAACAGTCTTGGAGTCTGTTTACGTACCTCTCAGCACTTCTGGGACTACGCCTATGTGGTTGCTCTTTATTCCTAGCTCCTCTGCAATGGCGGCCCCAATTTTTGAATCTGCTACTCCTAAAACAATTTTCTCCTTCTTTCCTGCTTTGGGGACATGTGTCTCCAGGAACAGCTTAAGGTCTTCATGCAAAAGGCCTAAAAATTAAAATAAAAAGTCATACATGTAAGCCTTAGTAATTAATATTCTGAGACAGTTTACCTCAAACTACTACATTCTACCTAATAATGAAAGCATCCCATTCCCTACTCCATCCTTTTTCTAGTCCATTTGTTTTTTAAGCATCCAACAGCATGAAATGATCTCCTTCTGATTTGCAGTAGATGTAAATATCAGGACACATCGCCAGACAAGGCATTAATGAAACTGTAAAACTTTTGTCACTTCTCCTTGTTTTTACTTTTGTCTATTATTTTCCAAAATTTGACTAAAAGTCTTAGTAAGATGTATATGTCTTGAATACCAAGTTTGATGTCAGTGTTTTCTTACAATGTCTACATACCATTTCTCAGTAGAATTTCTTCAAATTTTGTAGTTATATTGTTTTGAAGTAAAGAAGATTTTCTGCCACCAAAAAAATAATGGTTGTCCGAATTTTAAGGATTTTAAATGGAAATTTAAGTAAAAAGGAGCGAATTTTGGAGAAAAAAATAATGAAAGACACTATTTTTTTGCAAAATAATGTCAAAAAAATAATACTGCCATAGATTAGCATTGCATTAATGTATAACAATTTAATAAATGCTGAAATTGTGTAAAATGAATTATCTATAAACGAATGAAAATTGACATTTAAAAAATAGTAATTGCATGTAAGAGTTATCTTTCTTGAAACACTTCACAGTAGTGAAATAGGTAATCAGTTTCCTGAAGTGCAGGAAAATGGACACATGTGAATCATTGATAAAAAAAACCAGAATTAACGCTGGGTTGCTTTGAAATACTTCAATATGGAGAGAACACACTGTTCTGTCTATAATAAACATAAAATATTCATCAGTTTAATATTAAACATTAGAATATGCGGTAATTGTGATACTGTCTCCCTACATTGGATTTTCAACTAGGGACGTACTTCCTATTTTCGTTTATCAATACACTCCTATGACCTTAGGTTCTTATAATCAGTTGCATATCGCATTTGTAGTTATGATTTTATTTACCTTCAGAAATACTGTTGATATTGTCGAGGGCATTTGTTCCACTTTTGAAAGGAGAAAATGCTACCAGCTGGACAATGGACTGGAATTTACTTGGGTCTGTGACACTTTGTTCAACTTGGGGAATTAGCATGCCCACCTCCTCAAACTCCTTGACTCGGAATAGCGCATACCCCGAGGCATGCTCATACAGAGCAAACAGTACCTGTACTCCCTATGGAAAGAAAAACACAAAATATCAGATATTTATAAAATTACTTTCATTATAATAAATAAATTAAAAAATCAGTGTTCAAGCTTTCTTCACTACTTTTATTTACTTTTTCAAATACACCACATAATGTAATCCAAAGGACATTTGCAGAAAAATCATGCACAGGTGAGTGAGATCTATTTTTAGAATGTTCTCAACTGTATTATTCAGGTAGACTTACAAAAGGACTACATTGAATTAAACCAATAATTGCAAAAGGAAAACATAGAAATATTTATCAAATAGTTAACTTACAAAACATAATTTTTACAATGGTTGATTCCAAATACCGCTTATGGCCTACCCATCAGTCAGAAAATGCAAATGTGTCACTGACTTGAGCAGGTTGGGCACAACCTCTTATTACTCCAACAGGGTTAGAGGTTTACACAACAAGATACTTTTGACAGGCATCGCAGTTGGCAAAATCACATCTGATAGAAAAAGGCCGACCAGCAGCCTCTATGTTATAGGAGTAAACCTCTTATATTGGTAATAATCGATTCATGAATAACAGTTACGGTTTACAGCAAAGGGTACATTCGCGTATCTGGTTGAAACGGTTGAACCTGTCTAGAAAACGACAGGCACAGATCTGAATCGAGGCTGACCTCAGGAACATTCAGCACATGTAGGTATAGGGGTCCAGAAATATCTGACCGAAACTAAAATGCTGACTATTGCCAGTTTGCGTTTAAATATTTCTTTCTAAAACAATGTCAAGCCACATGTAGTTTTTAAGGCATACTATTCTTGATACATTGTTTTTTATTCTCCCAAACTGCATTTTTAGCTCTGCTTAAAGAACGGTCTAAGTGATTTTGTTTATTGTGGAATGTTTCTGCGCCACACGTATTGTTTTAATCGGGATACGCGAATGTAGCCCTAGTGCATCCTCTCAAGCGAGAGATACAACAGGTATCGCGGTTGATAATGAAATCAAATAGTTGCAATTGTAAGGACAGGTCATGACGCTTATGGCACTGTCCAGGCACACGCACTACCTCCCCCGCCCCCCCCCCCCCCTTTATAAACAATTATAACCTTATAAATTTGTAAAAGCAACAGGCTGAGGATATTAAAAAGGTTTCGCAGTTATATTTTGTTTAAGAAGTTATATAGTATATTATTGTAATCGCTGTATGTTTTCAACGATAAATTTGCGTTTGTAAAAATGGTGCGATATCCACACTGACCACAGATCCAGCACGGCAGCTGGCTGCAGGCTATTTGCCCAGAAAAAGGGCAATATCGGCAAGATTTCTGATCATTACTTTTATCTCTGTTTTACCCTTCCCTAGAAGCATCGCAAAGCATTTTCAAAGATCATTTCAACTTGTGGAAAATATCATGCATCGACAAAACCAAACAAGCACTGAAAAACCCACGTGCACCTACCATTTTCACTTTTCGGCCATTACTGGAAATGTATAATACGACTGATTTCATTGGATAGACGCATTTTTATGAACCAATGAACAGATAGGTAGTAAACAGGAGAAGGAGATTAGAGAAGGGGAGGTAAATTCGTCTGTAATAAAAATACATTGGACATAATGCTACCGGTTGAAAGAGACTGTAGAGTTTGATAAAACAGGCAGTAAGTAATGAAAGAATCCAAGCAAGAGTAAGGAGAAAGAGTAAACGTGACGCTTGCCGACTCTTATAGCAGTCGGTGTTTAACATGCAGGGTCACTATCTAAGCTTATTGTCACCTCTTCATTTCAGTACAGCAACTAACAGGTCCTATACAGTAATACTAGCTCTATTGACCTATCTGAAAAAGGTCTTTGGAGCTATTTTCATGTGATTTTCTTTTTTTATAAGGAAAACAAAACAAAGTCGCTTTTAAAAAAAGATGTTATCATAAGGTTGATAACAGAAGACATTTAATATAAGCAATAGTATTCTTTTTAAAAAATAATGATGTAAAAAAAACGGAAATTTTACATTTATGAAAAATGAAAATAAGAATCTAAATGTATGCTTTTTGTAGTCAACATGACCATAAACCATATTGTTCTATGCGATTTTGATTTAATTTAAAGAAAATTGAAATATTAGAAAATATAGCTCAACACAGCTATAATTTATAGTTGAATATAGCTATATAGCTCAATCGGCAGAGTGTGCTGGACCTGACTAAGTTAGACCCTTTTACATACAAATATATATAAGCCTAGCCTACATGGTGGAACACTGCACTACTGTAAATTTCAGTGGTCTACTGTAGTATATTGTTTACTGTAATGTTTTTTTACCAAAGTAATCTGAATTTCTGTCAGTATAATTATAATAATAATGGTCCGTGGCAGATGCAGGGGTGTTGTCCTAGTTTCCTTTTTTTCGGTGTCCAAAACTAAGTTAAAAAATATTATTGCCCTTGTTAGATTCTCACCGTTGTTAAATAACTTTAATTTATATTTTCCATAAAAGTCGCATGAATATATGTATGAAAAAAGAAATTAAAAAAATGCAGAGTTAACACTGACAGGAACTTTACATTGCAAAGCCTGCGGTATGGGACTATACTAATGTTAATGTTGATTATTGAAGGTGTTTGTTGCCCAAACACCACTGATTAAATGATTCACAAACCCAAAACAAGTGGGCATTATAGATATATATATATTCCCCCTATTGTCAATGTTAAATAAGAATGAGAATAACATTTTGTTTGCTAATATAACCCTGGTATATTAATTTCTCTTATTCAGATCCTGTGAGAAACCAAAATAATCATGTATTGATATACAAAATTCATCAGAAGGAATGGAAGAAGACGTCCCTGAAGAGGCACCTGTTCACAACACAAGTGAGCATGAGGAAGCCCCAGCTGCTCCAAGGGAAGACCTAGACACACTTTCGTGTAACAGCAGTAAAGACTCCAAAGATTTTCTGGTTCCCAAGATAAAGGTACACAATATTTAGATCAAACTTTTAAAGAGTGCATCTCATTATTTTTAATATACACCAGTGTTCTCCCAGAATTGTTTTGAAAGAAGCATGGTATTTCAATATTTCTGTAAAAGCAGCACTCTATGTAAAATCAAAGCAGCATGGTAACTTTAGATACTATGAATATATAGCAGAGAAGACCTTNAGCAGCACTCTATGTAAAATCAAAGCAGCATGGTAACTTTAGATACCATGAATATATAGCAGAGAAGACCTTGGATAGCAGCAGGGCAATAAATTATAGGAGCATGGTGCCATGCTGCTAAAACAGCCTAGGGAGAACACTACACGTAAACAGGAGTCGCAGGCATTTCTGAACAGGAAAACATTTTTGATTGAAATCAGTTACGGTAGTAGTGAGTAATCGTCAAAAATTGTGTTGGACTTTCACAACTACCTTTAATATTAGACAACTTTGAACCTAAACTGGAAGTAACGTACATGCAGGAACTGAGAACTAGTTCCAGTCGCCTGAAGTACAAACGACTCCTGATTACAATCTTGAGCGATGGGCAAACAATGTGTTGAAGCTGGTTACTGCAAAACATATCTCTACATGTTCCTGGCAGATAGGACAACTAGGTGTGTCTGGACTAAATTTGTGAAAGAACTTGAGAGAATTTGGATGGCCCAACCTGGCACTCCCACATATGCAGTGCCCAGTTCAACCCCTATTGTTTTTCCGCAACTTCTGGGTTAATGGCAGAATTTGGAATGAACTTAAGTTTCGAGATGAGTTGATCCTTGGAGTGATTCCCACAATACAGCTTATTGCGAAGAGACCAAAATGTTGAGATTTTTATGAGCCTTTTATCCCAAATAATCTTACCTAGAACAGAAGCTTCCATTGGCAACCAGCCAAGACGCTACCAAAACAAAATTGCCTGCAGTAAAGATCTGTATTTATTGAAACTGACCAAAATTTTAAAAGTTTCTATCAGTTTTGTGTGATAGGAAGGGGAAAAAAGAAATAATTTCTGAGAATCTAAAAAGAGGAAGAATGCAAATAAATATTTCTGAAAAATTGAAAAAGTAAATGTTTCTATAATATGATAAGAAATAATTATAAGGATGATAAATACCTGCATTTGAATGAAAGGATATTTTATATTGATAAGGCTACAATTTATTCTGTTATAACTACAAACATTGTGAAATATTGTTTAAATGGAAATTCCTTTTCCTATAACAGACTGAGGATCAATCTACGAGTGACAACACCAGCTTACCTTTACAGGAAGAGAACCCTCTGTCTACATCTGATAACACACAAGAGCCATTGCCAGCAGCTAAAGTCACTTCTTTACGAGACCAGGTAGGAAATAGCCTTAAAGATCCTCCACCACTACTAAAAACTGAAACTGTGCATTCGTAACTTACTTTTCCAGCATGATTATATAGCTGTGATAATGTTTAAACTTTAGTTATGAATTAATTTATTACAACTTATATTAACCACTCTTGTTGGCCCAGATGTAAGTGCACTGGGGTCTTAATGTGGGAGAAAACCGGAGAAATGGAAAGTATAGCTTACAGGACTTTTGAGGTGAAATGAACAAACAAAAAATCAAGTATTCTGTGTGAAAAAAGTATAAAACATGTTCCCCCGACAAACTATAGGACTGATATACAGTATAACCTGTCTAATCCGGCCTCTATCTAATCCAGATCCTTGTCTAAATGGGCTGTGATTTGTGGTCCCGGTATTTTCAAAAAATGACATGCCGACCCTGTATAAACCGGACACCTGTGTAAACCGGACAAATAGTTTTGTCCCGGTGACATCCAGTTTAGACAGGTTATACTGTATCATTTTTGAAAAGAGAACCATGCAGAACTTTTATGAAATATAACACAGATGCAGAAAAGAGAATTAACAACAGTGTTCTGAGTGTAAAAAATGTAATGGGTCCAAATCAGAATTCAAACCCAACAGGTCTACCTGGTCAACAGTGGTACATCTACTTCTGGGCCAGCAACGCTACTGTTATATCCAAAATTAACGGAACGGGAGGGTTCTCTATCATCTGTATATAAAACTGCAGTGGAACAGGTATCCTGAAATAAGAATATGCTGAAAATATTGCATTTATAGCAATATGTTGGGTAAATAGAGTATATTCTTTGCTGTGCAACAGTTAAATATGTAGTTCATCAGATTCTTCAAGTATTTAAGACTGAAAAACCCTTGAAAAGTTTTTGCATAATTATTTATTGAGCGATAAATTATCAAAAAAGGAATATGATTTATTTTGGAAAAAAACAGGTATACTACAAAGTGTGTAGGGAATTTTTTTCTTGATGAAAGTTTTTTTTATTTGGTACACCCTTTTTTCCTTTAATGCAATTGCCATAAGACATAGTGAAATTCAGATTGTATTTCAGTATTGCCTTTAAATTTCAAAAAGCTCGCCTTTGTGTACATGTAGATAATGTGTATTACAGAACTTACACAAAATTTACTTTAAATTGGTTTTAAAAGCTAAAAATTACCTTCCAAAGTCTATTAGTGAGCACTGCCAAGGTGCTAAATCACATGTGAACTCATCTAATTGAATGGTTAGAATAGTTCATTATGAAAGCACAGGGGAGAATGAGTTAATACCCTGGTATCAGGGATTCACACTGTTGGTGTTTGCATTAGTGCTTGGGCAAACAACAGATGATTTGCTATGCGCCTGATTAACAAAAAAACATTCGTTTAATCCCTTTGTTTTGTATATAATCAAACTATTGTCAATAAATTATGAAATAATGAAATGAAAGAGAATTGGCAGGTTTTCCCTTTTTCATAAAGAAGTACGTCTATACTGAGGTATGTTCTTTTTTCCAGCTGTCACTGTTACCTGAAAGTCCGAGTCGACGTAAAGAGCCGATAAATGTCCAGCTTCGTGATATCAATCCTTACATAACCTGTGGACTGTGTGGCGGGTACCTGTACGAAGCATCAACAATCACAGAATGCATGCATTCATGTAAGGTTTTATCATCTTATTAGTTCTCTGGGCTATAGCCCAGAGACTATAGCCATAGATCTCAAATTCTGTCAAGAGTTTTGCTTGTAATCGCATCAGTGATATAACTATGTATTTTTGGGAGAATATTGTGATGTTTGATACAATTGTTGTTCTTTTTTCTTGAAAATGAACTCAAAGTTAATTAGTACTCTTGTAATTAACTAAAATGTGAATTTTGACATGCTGAAAATAACATCCAGGCCAACTCACAGCGTGTGTAACATAGCTCTTAGCACCCACTACACTTTGTGTGTGTACGCAAGTCCAGAGAGGTGTATATATTCATGTATACTGCCAAACAGGGAGTGGGGCATCCGTTTCTTACAGACACATTTCTATAGTTTTGAAAAATATGTCATTGTTAAATTGTATTCCGTCTTTGCGTGTTGCAGAGTTATCTTCTCTTGAGAGCAGGTATTGATTGTTACGTCAGTGGTTTGTGTGAGAAAATTACGTCATTTTCTCAAAAATTGATGACGTTACTCTCGCAAACAAGTGACGTAACAATCAATACCTGCTCCCAAGAGAAGATTACTCTGCAATATGCAAAGATGGAATAACAGAATTGATACAAGGTCTCTTGTTTCTGGGACCTGACAATAGGATTCAGCAGTTTCAAGCACTTAGGTCATATGCCAAGAGAACTATTTGGCCTATACTATTGTTAAAATTACGATCAAGTTGAACTATTATTTATCACTGTTGTCACTATTGTGAAATTTTCAAAAGACATTTTCTATAAATATCACATGTTGAGAAGGATTTTACAGAAAAGAATGTGTAAGAGTTGAACATGAAACTTTTACATCATAAGGTTACACTTAACCAATGTTGCTCTCCAGGAATTATAAAACCACAGCCTCAAAATCAGTGTCTAAGTTATGGAGCACAAAGCCTATGAAAGGCCTGGCGGGGTTGGTTACTCGAAGCCATAAATGTTTTTTGGTTTGCTTCATCTTGTATGAAGAAGGGAGAATAATCCGACCTAGTAAAAAAAAAGAAAAAAAGTGGAACAGTTCTTTATGGTTATAACTGAGGCAGTGGTGCCCTTTACCTTAATGGTAATCCCATCCATACATAAAATGGGGATTAGTGAAAGGAGGCACATAGTACATTCTAATGTACAATGGCCTTCACATCTAGCTTGTTAATGGTCAAATAAACTTGCAAAACTTTCAGTGAAATATTGTCTGGGCTAAAAATCATAAACCCTAGATGAAATTTTAAGAAAATCTGCTTTATCCAAAGCAGATTTGCAATGCATTATATATTAAGGTCACTATGGCCTTCACTTCTGGGTCAACGGTCAAATAGATGCAAAGGAAATTGTGCATATTAGCTTATAAAGAGAGCTAAGTTTTTTTGTAATCAGAAGCAAATTTCAAATTATATGTAATCATATTTAATCAATAAGACAAGACTGGGACTACGTTTTGGAGAAATTGATGTATTGCATTTGTTAACTTTGCAGTTTGTAAGACTTGTATTGTACGCCATACAGAGAGACATTTGAACTGCCCAAGCTGTGATGCAGCTATACACCCCACTGATCCTTTTGTTCATATACGGTAAGCTATATACCCCACTGATCCTTTTGTTCATATACGGTAAGCTATATACCCCACTGATCCTTTTGGTCATATACGGTAAGCTATATACCCCACTGATCCTTTTGGTCATATACGGTAAGCTATATACCCCACTGATCCTTTTGGTCATATACGGTAAGCTATATACCCCACTGATCCTTTTGGTCATATACGGTAAGCTATACACCCCACTGATCCTTTGTTCTATCAAGCTAAGTCATACACCCTACTGATCCTTTTGTCCATATAAGGTAAGTCCTACACCCAACTGGTCCTTTTGTCCATATAAGGTAAGTCCTACACCCAACTGGTCCTTTTGTCCATATAAGGTAAGTCCTACATCCCACTATTTTTTTTGTCCATATAAGGTAAGTCATACAACCCACTAATTATTTTGTTCATATAAGGTAAGTCATACATTCCACTAATTATTTTGTCCATATAAGATAAGTCCTACATCCCACTATTTTTTTTGTCCATATAAGGCAAGTCATACAACCCACTAATTATTTTGTTCATATAAGGTAAGTCATACATTCCACTAATTATTTTGTCCATATAAGGTAAGTCCTACATCCCACTAATGTTTTTGTCCATATAAGGCAAGTCATACACCCCACTAATTATTTTGTCCATATAAGGTAAATCATATACCCCACAAATTATTTTGTCCATATAAGGTAAGCCCTACATCCCACTATTTTTTTTATCCATATAGAGTAAGTCATATGCTGCACTGATTATTTTGTCCTTGCATCAACAAAACACAAGATCTCGCATAGCCAGGATTGGGAGAGGTGTCATGTTTTTTCTATGGGGTGTCATTTTAAAGTGGCCCTTGAGTCACTCCATTATATGTGAACATTGTCTTTGCATGACCTTTGTTAGTATATTGCAAAGTTCCAAACAAACAAACAAATCAGAACAATCAAAATTATCAATTTATTGTGCATAGATATATATAAAGTTGTTGATTTTATGAGGATGTATTTTGTATATGAATTTAATGTAAATTCAAAAAGGAAGCAAACTGATCTGTTTGATGGTTTTATTTTCAGAAATGACAGTACCATTCAAGATATAGTATACAGATTATTGCCACACATTGCAGAAGGTAAATAGCTAGTTAAAATCAAGATGAACTTTTGTCTTTATATCATTACTAATATTTAGAACATTTTTTTTTTGTGACTTAATACATTTCTGGTCTTATTTGTGTTGACATCTATTTGTGTTTCACTCAATTTGTACTGCAAAAGTGAAAATTTTCCTATTTTCTCGCGTCAAGTTATAGGCGCGAACATATCAACTGGCAAATTTAGATTGTAAAGATTATTGTCATAGAATAGGGGTCGACACTAACACTAATCTGCTAGTCCTGGACGAGTAGATTTCAACAAGGACTAGTGAATCACCTAACCTAACTGGTCCTTTGGACGATTTCTCTTTAATATTTAGAACACAGCTTAAATATGATATATTGCATGATAATTGTCAAAATTTTGGACTAGTTACATTGATGAAGGACTAGTAAATAATCTATTCAACTAGAATAGTCCTGTGTAATACCAAGCAAAAAAAGTTAGTGTCTAACCCTGTTAGAATACATTATGTATAAGTTCAGAACCATTACAAACACAATGTCCACACTTCAATCAATGTAGAGAGTCATAACTTGAAAATTACCACTCACACAAAGTTTCACTTTGACTGTTTGTTTATTGTTCAAATGATACTTAACTCATTCACCCCTGAAGACACATTTGAACTCCTCTAATTCAAACGTTGGTATAGTTCATTATGAAATTTCAGGGGTGAATGAGGTAAATTCACGATTAATGTTCAAAGCAAATGACTGTATTCCGGACTATTTTCGCTGCAGTTTATTTTTCTCCTTTTCCGTCCTCTGTGATGAGTGGAATTTATCATTACTTTGAATATAAGTAGACAACACAAGAAACATAGTAATTAAATGGTATGGGCGAAATTAACACTAGGTACAAATTTATGTCATGAGCGAAGAGCGAAAGTTTGACTGGGCAGAAAATTCCTGGTATACAGTATCATAGCAAGATATAAGTAGTCGTTGTTTGCAGACAGTCCAAATATCCTGAAGAATAACGTAAAGAAATGACGCAGAAAAGCTAAAATATAATAGTGATGTATATGTACAGATCTCTCATGGAGGCAGTGGTCGTAAATTCATTGTTAGAAATCATACTTTTAACATTCTTCTTGAGATAACTGGTATTGAGAACAAAAAAAATTAATCTGCTTCATGTCTTCAGTCTTGAAACATTGTAAAAAAAATCTGTAAAAAAATGACTTTTTTTGTTTTAGAGGAACAACGAAGAGAAAAATTGTTCTATGAAGAGCATGAAAAGGCAACAGGAGGTAAATTTATTATGAGATGCTGAAATTATATTGATGTTATACAATTTATTTACTGGTTGTCTAAAAGTATGAAAATGTAATTCTTTCTTCATTTGATTTTTTTTTTACATTTATTCTTATATTCTTATTGATGTATTCAAACTGAAAAATCTAAAATAAAGTTAAAAAAAATAAGACTAAAAAGATAGAATAAGAGAATAATAACCGTAGAGTTTTAATGTTGGTGGTTGTTTATCTGAAAAGTTTCTTTTATCTGTGGAATTTGTATTATTTAAGAAATCCTTAATTGATCATAAACACAAATTATTGATACGAAGGGTTGATACACATGATCTTCAAAATTGTTTAAATTTAGAAATATCAAGCGAATGAAAAGCAAAACATGAAAGTTCATTTGTTTGTATAAACAAGTGGGTTGTTTTTAACCTCCAAATTCACACTTCATATTTTAATATAATGCACTGTAGGAGTCTAATGATGCGAAAAAAGTCTGAAATCGTTCTTAACCCTTTCACCATTGTAGACCATAATGGACTTATCCAGATCGATGCACAGTAGAGTTTATTGAAGTTACATAGAAGTTACAAAGGAACAAAAGGGTTAATTAACTAGCTTGGCCAAGGAAAAAAATGTTAATGATAATAAATTTGATAAAAAGTTGTTTATCTGATGAGGTAGTGTTATTATAAGCCTATAGCCTTCATGATGAATCAAAACAGAAAAGATCATCAAAGGACTATCTGATCAAAATCATATCTTTCATTGCTCTTCGTTTTCTGTACTTCATAACTTGTAACAAAAGGCCAACAAAGGATCTTATTTTTTTTATTAGATTGGCCATTTGACTGAAATTGGCTTCACTTATCTATTTTCATATATAAAGAAAAGTTCCTCTAAAAACCAGATAATGAATAGAGACATTTTTGTGTGATGATCTAAACCTGTTATATGTAAATTGTATATTAATTGTATTCCATATGTGAAACCAAGGCAGCATTTTGTGTAAACTGGTGCATTGATCAGTTAGAACAGCCAAGATGACTTATCATTCCCCCTAGTTTGTCTAATGATGTGAGGGAATCCTTAATGATCGTGAAGCCTAAAAGAATAAATCTGGATTGTTTCTAGATGAAATGATAAAATGTAAAGTTAGAACAACAATCTAATGGCATTTCCGTCATTTTCTCATTCATAAATTGCAGAATTTCTTGGAGTATGTGAAGTATCAACATCCTTTTTCTATTAAGACTAAATATCAAAATAAGTGCTATTATTTTAAGACAGGTATGTCATGTTTCTGTCCAAATCTGTTATTTGGATTTTTGTTTTGTTTGAATGGATTATGTTAAATTTTATCTAAATTAAATAATTAATGTATAATGTTTTTGTATTTTCAGAGCAAATTACGCCCAAGCTGACCCTGCCTCCGCCACCTCCACGAACGCCGCCACCTAACTCCATCCCCCCGATGCCCGTGAAACCACTGCCAAGAAAAGCAGAATCTCACAAACATCGTAACTTAGGGAACTTCAAGTCACAATTTGTGTCGCTGTTCCTAGAATACATTGGGTAACCATTCTCTGATAGTTCTGTTATCATTATACATTTTTGTAAGGCTCTGAATACCGGTAGAAGGATTAATTGTATCCATTTTAAATCTTCATCAGAAATATATATGACTTTGTAGTAAGAATGGAATTGTGGGTTCTTTTCTATTTTTGACAAATATATAAAAACTCTTTGTATCTTCTGCACAAGGGTACATGGGTATATTTTAAAAGTGACAATTTTAAATAAATTATTATTTCTTATTTTTGCAGTTACCATTTTTTAGTGTCATGAATGTATTGTTACTAAAACATATATGTTGCTTAGAAATGTATAATTTATTAATCTTTCTTTTGTCAACAGGGACTTAGATGAGTTTGGTGACCAGGTGAGATTTGTATAACTTATATCCTGAAACTTATATTTTCTTACACTACGTATGTTTTTTCCCAAAAACAACAAAAAAAGCAATTCTTGAGGGAAAAATATGTCATTTGTTCCTTCCGATTGTTTGATGATGACATTTAAAGTCATAATAATAACATGCAATTCCATGGTTTCCTTGTGCTAATTTCTTAAATTCATTTTAGAAGTGATTTATTTTCTGTGTTTTATACAGAACTTATAGTGTTGTAGTCAGTCTGAGGTAAAGCTATTATTTCTGTGTCTGATATTTAAATTTCTGTTTGCTTTCAGCTTACTTTGGCTAAAAACTTTCTGCGAGTGGCGGGTAAAGCAACCATAGGAAACCTGATAAGCTTTATAAGGAAGAAGCTCTACCTGACCACACACTGCAATGTAAGCTCAACATCTAGTGTTCTAGTTATTCTATCGCAAAAGGCCTTAGGCTACTATTGATTTCAAGGTGTTACAAGTACCAGTACCAAAGGGAAAATATGGAAATAGTCTAGAATTTTGCTTGTGACCTCATCCTTAAACTGTGAAGCTGACGAACACTTCAGATCCAGAATTTTCAAGATACATCTATTAGATGTCAACATAACCCCTTTGAACTGTGATATTATAAAATTCATTCTGAGGGTCCCAAAATCATACCCTGTCCTTTCTCATAATTAATGGAAAAAATCTCCCGATTCATCTCGGAATTATTCGTTTTGCATCATTCATAGGAAAGAAATGTAAAATGATTTAAAGAAAAACTCAAATTTAAAAATGCAGTATATTGGAGTATTATGAACTGTGTTACGAGGCCATCTTTGTCTTACACACTATACTATCATGAAAACTGTTTATTTTTTCAAAAGAATTTGCCACATCTTCTCACAAAGTAAAGCCAACATCCCTCAGAATATATTCTATTTGATTGAAAATCATTGGAAACCACAAAATGTTGAATATCATACATTTATGGCAATGGTAGTAGGGAAAGGTGCAAGTTTACTTCCTGTATAGTAGCAAATTTTATCTCCCAAGGGTTCATCTCAAGGGAAAAACACATACATGTATGATTGAATTAAACTTGATATATTTTACAACAATTACAAGAAAATTTAATCAACCTAAATGATTCATTGAGGGAAACAAAATCTTAATTTATGTCACATTACTACCCAGGAAATTAATTCCAAACAAAAAAAGATTTACAAAGAGAAAAATATCATTGACAGAAGATAACTTTCTGTTGAAAGATACCCAACAAAACCAGGTGACACTTTTACCAATAATTCTCAAGCGGAATCTTCACATACAATTATACCTCATCTATGTAACAGTATGTCTGATTGGATTGTATTAACCACATGATGGGGGAACTATAACATCTTGTTGCGCTCAAGTTTCACTGGTCAATGTTATCCTTATTCAGAGTCTCTTTAGAAAAATTGGCAAGAGCCACCACAACTGAGTTCCGAGTTCCTGAAGCAGAGGACAGGGCGCCAACCTTTTTACTTCTTTATCACTGTATTATATATATTGACCTTTTAGAAGGGAAACATGATTGTTTGTTTTGCCTTGATTAATCATGTTTCCCTATAAAAAGTTCAGTTATTGTATATTAAACTTTGTACTGTTAGTAGTGTTAGAAACCGATTAGCGGTTATATTTCGCGGGGGTTTTAATTTCGCTATATTTGCGCTTTGACTAATAACCACATTTTCTAAACACAAGCGAAATTATCGAAAATGTTTACCACTTTTACGAACCTCACTGCAAATATTTACTGAATACGAAACCGCGAAATATTGACCCCGCGAATTTAAAGCGCCATACAGTACTCAAATTATTTCTGTTTTAAATTCTTTCGTTGACAGGTAGACATATTCTTAACCCATGACTCAGACACAACTTTGATGACAACAGACAACAAACTTCTAAATATAAGGGAGGAATTTTACCAAGGCCAGGTATGTTTCAAATTATAATATCCTGAGGAAGCCGTGTACAGTAGGAATGGCCTGATCCTAAAAATAAAGGGCATGTCTGAGATACACATGGATAGTGTTTTCAACCTGCACAACACACGAACACATATATATATATATCTATACATTATAAATACATTTCTTTTTAGAAAAATGAAATCTTTTTAGGAAGTGTTTTCCTCAGATTTTTGACCATGGTTAGTTAAAATCGAAAAATGCCCAAAAATGTAAAAAAATAAAAAAAAATAAAAAAAAGTTTTTAAACCCAAATTTTTATCCACATAGATATATTATTTTTCTTCTTAAAATCTGTCTGAAATGAAATATCACCAACTCAGTCACAGAAATAATCACGTTTTAGCATAGCTTCATCTGTTGGATTTTCACAATATTTTCACATGTGCCGAGTACAAAAATAGATAGCTTTTGCTGTGTAGACACAGATTTGTTAATGGCCTAAACTGTATATTCAAACCAAATGCAAGTATTTTTTGTTGAAAAAATTATAAAGCCCTTATAGCCAATTTCATCACATCACGTATATGCCAATTTCAATGCATATGGTGAAAAAAAAATTGATACATAATATTACAGGGGTAATACAAAAACATTGTACAAAAATATCACCAATGGCCGTCATACATTACTGTATACTGCAATCTGAACACGATATATATATTATTACATAAATTATTAGCTGTAAAGGAAAACATTTATTTTCATTTCATTTCAACCTATTTTATTGAAAAAAAAAGAGTTATATTACCAAAACGATTATGCAACAGCACATCCTATGTAAGCCCTCTCCAAAACTGAACATTTATTTTCATTTGAGAGTTTGCTAGCTCTTACAGAGTGACACCTTTCAGAATCTGTTAGCTCTTACAGAGTGACACCTTTCAGAGTCTGTTAGCTCTTACAGAGCAACACCTTTCAGAATCTGTTAGCTCTTACAGAGCTACACCTTTCAGAGTCTGTTAGCTCTTACAGAGCGACACCTTTCAGAATCTGTTAGCTCTTATAGAGCGACACCTTTCAGAGTCTGCTAGCTCTTACAGAGCGACACCTTTCAGAATCTGTTAGCTCTTACAGGGCTACACCTTTCAGAGTCTGTTAGCTCTTACAGGGCTACACCTTTCAGAGTCTGTTAGCTCTTACAGGGCTACACCTTTCAGAATCTGTTAGCTCTTACAGGGCTACACCTTTCAGTCTGTTAGCTCTTACAGGGCTACACCTTTCAGAATCTGTTAGCTCTTACAGAGCGACACCTTTCAGTCTGTTAGCTCTTACAGGGCTACACCTTTCAGAATCTGTTAGCTCTTACAGAGCGACACCTTTCAGTCTGTTAGCTCTTACAGGGCTACACCTTTCAGAATCTGTTAGCTCTTACAGAGCGACACCTTTCAGTCTGTTAGCTCTTACAGGGCTACACCCTTCAGAATCTGTTAGCTCTTACAGGGCTACACCCTTCAGAGTCTGTTAGTTCTTACAGAGCGACACCTTTCAGTCTGTTAGCTCTTACAGGGCTACACCTTTCAGAATCTGTTAGCTCTTACAGGGCTACACCTTTCAGTCTGTTAGCTCTTACAGGGCTACACCTTTCAGAATCTGTTAGCTCTTACAGGGCTACACCCTTCAGAGTCTGTTAGTTCTTACAGAGCGACACCTTTCAGTCTGTTAGCTCTTACAGGGCTACACCCTTCAGAATCTGTTAGCTCTTACAGGGCTACACCCTTCAGAGTCTGTTAGTTCTTACAGAGCGACACCTTTCAGTCTGTTAGCTCTTACAGGGCTACACCTTTCAGAATCTGTTAGCTCTTTTGTGTGTCAGTTTATATTGACAAAGCCTATCCAAATCAGCTGAAGTCTGTTGGTTTGTTGTTGAAAATTATACTTATACCAGCATGTAAGCACACCACAAATCTGCACTTAATGAGCTTGACAACAAACCGATGATTCGCAAAGGAAATTGTGTGATTGAACAATTTACCAGTGTCAAGTTTCAGTTTAAATATAAAAATAAAATAAAAATAAATTCAATATTACTTAAAAGCTTATGCATTAGAGCCCAATATACACAGGCTGGACAACTGATAGGGTTATATTAATAAGATTGTTGTATATATATAATTCGGAGTAAACCGTTATATATCTTTTTTTATACTTGTAGGACTGCATAGTAGAATTACAGTACAGAGTGAGTACCAACCTGGATGACTAAAACCCGACAGAAAAAAAACTTTATTTTTCTATTGTTTGCAAGATGATTTTTTCTTTTACATTTTTCTTCTATTTTTTTTATCTTGTCTTTGCATAAAAGTAAGCTTTGATTTCTTCTCATCTATTCTTCCTTGTTCGAACTGTACATGTGACGATGTATTTTATTGCACTATATGTGTTGTCTTTACAATTTCGTTATAGCTGATTCCTAGATACTGTCCTTACTTCATTGAAAGAGTATGATACTTTATAAGGGCACTTTTTTGAAGTAAGAGCCTTTAACTAGGAATGTGTTAAGCGTACATATCATTGTTTCACAATAGTTCACTGCTATAAAGAAATTGTGAATCATGCAGGCAAACATTAGAAAATATCCCCAAATTTGATCATGTGTTCTAAGAGTCAAGGTTTTTGACATTATTTGGATAACATGTGCATCAATTTGACAAGAACCATTATTGCAAGACTGTAAAAAGATCATTTTGGATAATAAAAGTCCAAAAAACAGTCTATCTGTACCATTCAAATTCCTATTAATGGCATTGATAATTGTTGTTTATACTATGAGAACCATCAGTCTGTTGACCTTTAGGACTTTGATTATGAGATACAAGGATTCTATTGAATTGCCATTCCGACTTCTATCGTATTAACCCTTTCACCACTGTAGACCATAATGGACTCATTCAGATCAATGTATGGTAGAGTCTACTAAAGTTACCTAGGGGTGAAAGGGTTAAACCACTTTCAGGGAACCCGGAGGATTTGTAAAACGTTACAAAGTTAATGTGTTCATGAATTAATGTTCAAATGGTGCCATGATGTTAATTCATATTACTCAGTCTTGCTAGCTATTTCTGTTCAATTCTAGTTTTTGTAAAAGTTATTAGATGACTTTAAGAGAAGAATATTTTTAGACACGTCCCAATATCTAAGAGGCAATTCGGTGTTGAGGAAATAAATTCCTCTTTTTGTATGTTTTCAGGCATTTTTTGTTGCAAGTACATAACCTTTCATTATATGTTACATTCGTGATTTGTGTCATGTTTTCATCATTTATTTTGTTGTAACATATTGCTGTATATACTACATATTACTGTATGAACACTTAAATTGTTTTATATTGATGGTTTATACAGATGTTGACTTAGTAAAATAATTAAATTTGATGCTACTTTTGTTAATTGTTTTTATGCCGTTTACAGTGTTCCAAAGAAACAAGAACTGTTATGATTAGTTGCATTGACTTCGTCCTACTGTAACTCGGGTCGGGCACACGAGAGTAACTCGGGTCGGGCACACGAGATAGGGGCTTGGAAAGTAAATATGAAGCGGTTATGCCTGTATTATTTTTTTGCTAAGACATTAATTATGCAAGCCCATAATTTGTTTGTCCAGTCCATGTGAAAAGGCATCTTTAATGGTCATTACCATTAACACGCTTTAGGAGCGTCAATAATTGATTGATTTCTTTTTATTTTCTACCCAGTGGCAAAGTGATAATTCTAACACCTTATATTGTGACCAACGTGATATGGAACCACTTTCAGAGTCGGTTTATCATCTGTCTTATTATATTGTATTGGGGACATCAGACGTTTCCTCATGTCTTATCATATTGTATTGGGACATCAGACGTTTCCTCATGTCTTATCGTTTGGAATTGGGGACATCAGACGTTTCCCCACTTGTTCTTTTGGGTTATGTACATTGTCTGACTAATGTTATGTTACTCAGACGGAGTTCAGTCCAAGTTGTGACGGTTAAGTGGCACTTCTTTGTAACCTTTGGTAGCAACACAAGTACAGAATACCGTCGTCATTTGACGTTTGGTGATGTCAACACCTAAAACAAATAATACAAACGGGTCTGTTATGATTTTGTATTGTGTATAGCCCATGATAAAGAGCAAAGTGTTTCACATCTAGTAAAGAATTTGTAGGATCTCGTATCTGTAAATTAATGACCGAACACCATCTAATGGTGATATGCTTTTATTCATCTGTTATATTAAAGTGCTGTGACCTTAACATAATTAGGACCCAAATGCACATAAATGACCATTATTTAAATGGTGAAGACAATGGAATTGCATGTAGTGATACATTATGTACAGTATTAAGCTAGAGAGTGTCTAAGACATGAATGCCCAAGCTGCCATGTGAAATTAGTTTCTCTGATCTTGATACCTTGGGCCCGTATTCATGAAATGGTAGGTAATGTTAAAGACAAAAAAGTTTGATGTTTGTTCTAAAGAGACAGCTTAGTTTATTAAAACAGCACATGTACAGTACATATGATTTCCATATACCTTTCGCATAAATGGGAACATTTACACTCATAAAACGTGCTCGTTCACCTTCTTAAATGAAGCAAAACTTTCTGACTTTCATAAATATTTCCTTTTGTTCTTTCCCCCAATCCCCCCCCC